CCTGAGATACACAGTCTCTTATGTAAAATGGTGTAGTATTTGCATGTCAGCTATGCAATCCTCCCATACACTTTAAATAAACTGTAGCTTACCTATACTTTATACAATGTAAATGCTATGCAAATGGTTGTAGTACTGTGTTATTTAGGGAGTAATCACAAGAAGCATCTGTAATTCTTCAGTATGGGGCCATTTTTCCCAATTATTTCCTCAAGTCCATGGACGCAGAAGACACACACGTGGAGGACCACTGTTAAAGTGCTCCAATGAGGCAAGAGGGCGAGGAGAGAATGGGGGAGGACGGCGGATGGGAAAGACAGACTCACGGACAGTTGTTCCAAAGATGCTCCTGATGAGGGGGAGCGTGTGACCACAACCCCCCCACGAGCGAGACCTCGGTGCGGGGTGGGGTGGGCGGCAGACTGCATGCTCTGTGTGCTTCCACTTCTGGTATCAGATGAACCTGGAATCCGAAAATTTTAAGTTCCTACTTTCCAGGCCCATTCGAAAGCTAATCTTCTACAAGTTTGTATTCTCATGGCCCCTTATATTCTCAGGCTCAAAGGATCCCTTAACATTTCTGCATAGAAGAAACTAAAGAACTAAAAGCAAGGGGCAATCCAGAACACCAAGCCTTCTGTCCCACCATGTGCTCCCTCCACTCTCCAGAGCAGGACAGCTTTATGTTCTTTGAATATCCATTTCCACCCGCCTCTCCTGAGTTCCCTCCTCTCACCTCGCATCATTTGGAAACCAGAGAAGCTGAGCTTGTGGGCTCCGCATGCTCTCCCCATAGCCACTCCCCAGCGAGCCCATGATCCTGGGGTCGGTGGAGGGTTCCAGTCACAGGGCTGCCTATACGTGATGACACTCAGGATCCCAGAAGCAGGAAGGTGAATCTGCATACCGACCTTCCTTAAGGGATACTGACCTGGCAGGCTTTTCTTTCCCTGTGTTTATGGAGGCAACAGGGAAGAGATGACCCGAACAAGCAGAAGGGCACATAGTGAATTCAGTGTTCTGTGACATGTGGTGTCTGGTTTCCATTCATTCCCTCCATGCATGGCCAGCACAGAGCAGCAGTGGGAACCAAGGGTCTGTGGGCTCCTACCTATGCATGGAGAGGGGAAGGAGAGGGCTGATAATGTGCTGGGATGCTTCAGGGGTTTTTCAGAAGACAAGACCTAGGAAGGAGCCAAAAAGGAAGGCCAAAGGGTTTTCTCCCCAGGGCTTGCCCATGCCTGAAAATCCTGTTTTATAAATCTGTTGCCATTCATTTTTTAATCTTTTTTTTTCCAAATCTTTCTTCCAGCCATTGTCCAATCTTTGCAAGTATGTGGATACCTGGGGGTGGGGTGGGGGAGTATCAGGTTTGGTTTTGGTTTTGGTTTTAGTACTGGGGATTGAACTCAGGGGCACTCAACCACTGAGCCACATCCCCAGTCCTATTTTGTATTTTATTTAGAAACAGGGTCTTGCAGATTTAGAAATAGGTTCTTGCAGATTTGCTTAGCGCCTTGCATTGCTGAGGCTGGCTTAACTCACTCTCCTCCTGCCTCAGCCTCCTGAGCCTCTGGGATTACAGGTGTGCACCACGGCACCCAGCAAAAGTATCAGTGTTTATCCTAATTTCCCCAGCATGGCCAAAAGGATCTAAATTGTTGAGGGCCAAGTTGCCCAGGCTGCCCTTGAATTTAAGATCCTTCAACCTCAGCCTCCTGAGTCACTGGGATTACAGGCATGCACTACCACACCTAGCTTATCATTTTGAAATGTAATGGTACTAGTGAAATTGCTGTTAAGGCACTGAGCATTAAGATATTTTTCAGGGGATCCCTGGCTTCCATTGTGCTGAGAACTGTTTTCTTTTCATCATAACCCTTCTCAGTGTGGGTCCCAGGCTCAGGCCAATCCTCTAACAAAGGACAACCCACCATACCCTTTAGTCGACTGTGGTGTAGGTGAAGCCTCTTTGGGAGACCTGAACAAGAAGGGGCAACAGAAAGAAAGGGAGGAAATCCTTTGTCCTTTCCCCTTCTGTTCCTTATAGGGCTAAAAGAAACCCCTAGGCCACTCTGGGAGCCTTTGGGGACTCCCAAGGTTACCTCTGGATCAGGATCTGGGCCTAAGTGGTGGGGAAGCCTGTGGCCATCCCTGCATGGTGTTCTTGCCTATTGTGCCTGGGAGCCCCCAGGAATGCCTGCCAGTTTTCAGAGGGTTCCCACTACAATTCTGGCCACATCTCTCAAAGATGCTCAAATTCTCCCATTTGCACTCCTGACCCGTGTAGACCTCAAGAAGGTGGACTTGGGTTCTAAAATGAAACCTGTGGTCCCTGGAGTCCATTGGGAGCTGCAAGGTTTAGGGAAGTCTGTGGGCTAATAAGCAGGAGACAGACAGAATGCAGAGCGGCTTTGCACCTGCCCAAAGCAAAATGCAGCATGCCTCCACCTCATCTTTGACATTTTCCTACCCCCTCCCAGAGTGAGCTAAATGCCACACTTCATTGATTGGTCAATCAACTAGCAATGTGTGATACGTGGGTGTAGGAGCTGCAGAGAAAGATGGGTGAGAAGAGTCAAAAAAACAACACAAGCCAAATGGGAGGGGCTTATATATAAAGAAAAATATACATTTTCCTCTCCTGTGCCCCGCTGGGACAGCCCCTCCTCTCGCAAAGCCTTCACAAAGAGAAAAGGAAAGGGCGTGGGTATCCAGTGCCGGGAAGCCCTTTCTTTATGTGGTGCTGACCTCTAGAGGATTCCAGTTAAAAAGCATCCCGAAGGACCAACTTCACTTCCCTGCAGGTGTTTCCACTCCATGTTGTTTCAGTATTTCATTAGAAAATATCTTTGCTACTTAAATGCTCTCTCCTAGAAAATGCCTACCTTTTCTTTGGCTACCGAATTACAGCTTGCTCAGATTTTTATAAATGTCACGGTTTTCTACTTCAAAGAGGGGGAAAAGGTGGATCAATGAACGGGACAGTATTTCAGAGTTGTTTTTTTTTCTTTTTTTTTTTTCCCTAGCATGGGACTAAGAGGAAAAAGGTGCAGTGCCTGCTAATTCAGGTTGCATTTCTCCAGTTTCCAAACTACCAGATGGCCACGTCTGCAAACAGGAGAAAAGAATATTCATTCATCCCAATTCAGCCGGGCACCGGAGAAAACTATTCCCCAGATACTCCTGCCGGTGCGTGCGAGCGCGCTCGTACACACACACACACACATATGTGCACACACACACACATACATGCACACACACACCAATGTGCTTGGTCTAACCCTGGTTCAGGCCCAAACAGTGTGTAGTGGGTTTTACTTTATTTCTTGGGTTGCACATCCATCCACACGTGTGCATAATAAGCACTGAGGACAACGTGGTATCACACTTGGCCTGACTTTACAATGGAAACCAGGTTTGTTTCTAAAGGAAATGAGACTCTATTGCATCCTGGAGCAAGACGCTCTGCTCCTCCTATTTTGGTACAGCTTCTGAGTTCTTATTACTGACCACAAGGAGAAGGGAAGCACAGGAAGGCAGGAGAGGGTGTTGAGGGATTGACATTTTGGCTCATTATACATCCATGCCACCAGCTGGGGCCTTTGTTCTAATAAGGGATCCTCTGGACACCCGGCTCAAACTGGAGAACAGCTAGTCAATGCCTGTGGCTCTGGGAGACTGTGTGTCCCTTGTGAATCACATCCACCCTCCCTGCTGGCTCCACAGCCAGGTCAAGGCTCACTCCTAATGCCAGTGTCAGAAAGGGGACTCAGCATTGCATCCCCCACTCTTCCTTTTACAAATGAGGAAACAAAGGCTGAGTGGGCACAGAAGGGACAGGCTGAGGGGGTCACAGTCAGTGAGGGCCAGATCTGGGCTAGAACCTTGAGCCCCGCCAACCACTTATAGAATGATTATCTACAAAAAGGAATGTATTTTTAATTTGGTGAAGGGGTGGGTAGAGGCTCAGACACACCCAGATTGGAAATATATGACTAATACTAGTCCCATCTGCATTTTATAAAATACATTCACAAGAGCAATCAAATTGCAGTAAAAAAGAGATTCCCTCATAAGAAAGGCTTGGTCTGCACCAGACCTGTGAGGTCTAGAAAGGTTTATGAATGGTGCACCTCTTTGAAAACAGCCACACCAGAAAACAAGAACCCCAAATCAAGTTATTTAAAACACACACAGGAGCCTCTGAGCTCTCTATTAAGCCATTCTCAATCTAATTTAACAATCTATAGAGACCAATTTATTTGGAAAAAGAAATTTACTCCTAATCAAATCATGAAACTTACCGCCAACTTTCAGATGTATTATTTAAGTGCTATTGTTTAGTGAATAACGGCAGTTGGGAGGAAAGTCACAGGGAAATGGTGTCACAGAATGACCACAAGATACAGATTTCTAATTGTGCCATAAAGGACTGCTAACTAGGTTAGAAAAAAGTAAGTCCGCAGGGCATGGTGGCACACATCTGTAATCTCAGTGGTTGGGGAAGCTGAGGCAGGAGATCACGAATTCAAAGCCATCCTCAGCAAAAGTGAGTTGCTAAGCAACTCAGTGAGACCATGATTAAAAAAAAAAAAAAAGATAGGGCTGGAAATGTGGCTCAGTGCCCCTGAGTTCAATCCCCAGTACCTCCCAAAAAGTCCTCACATACTAAAGTACTAATTCAGAGATAGTATAGAAATTTACTAAACACCAGCTACAATGCTGGTAAGAGCTATGGATACCCCCAAACACATATATTATTAACTTCTGGCTCTGTTTTATGTAACCACCACCTCCTTCTCCTCTTTCTCCTATTCTTCTTCTTCTTTTTTTTTTTGCTTACATTTTTTAATTGGGTGACATTCTTTTTTTTTTTTAACTACCTCCTTCGCAATCCCTCTGCTCAGCTTTCCTTCCACTTCCACTTCTGCCCATGGTACTTAAGTGTCCATTAGGACCAAACTTTGTGGAGAGAGTAAACAAGAGGCACACACCAGCAGGGTTTGGAAGGCTCTTTAATAGCAAGCGTATGGTAATTACATCGTTGGATGAGATCCTCCCTCCAGGGAAGGGAGGAGGGAGCAGATGTGGACAGGGTGCAGGAGAGATTTTTTTCCACTGTTTGAGGCATCTAACAAAGGGCAATGGTTTTTGGCAACCCATTTCACAGTTTTGTAATTTACAAGAGATTTCTTTCAAAGGAAACGTGAAGGCAAAGAAAGTACACACACCCTACAGGAAACACATCTTGCCTTAAAAAAAAAAACAAAAAACAAAAAATCCCCAAAACCAACAAAAACAATTGTTCCTTGCTTTTGCTTCTGCTTCTCCTGTCGATGGCTAAATGTGCTCTCATACACCAACTGGGACTGACAGGCAGATGGGTTCCAATTTGCCTGGCATTAAAGGTTTACTTCCTCCTCTACAAAGCTGACGCTTGTACAGAGTACTCTGCGACTTGACGCTTGTATCAGAAAGTACCTGGTAAAGAAATGAATCTTGAGAAACAATAACAAAACGGAAGAAAAAACCAGGGGAAGGTAGTTTACCAAGAACAGACTGTCAGCTTCCTCTTAGTACCAAACAACTTGAGTACAGTTCCAATTCAGTATTGATTGTTGTGTGGCCTGATACACACCATGAACTGCTTGTGCCTATTCAGCCTTCTGGTGCTGTAAGTGGGGTTTCGAACATGAAATGCTGACAGCACACTGCCACGGACACCCTGGGCTACTGGCATTCTGTCAAGTCTTAGAATTATTCCATATAAAACCTAAAAGACCTCAGCTTCTCATGTCATACCTGTTATAATAAAACCAAGAAAACTGGGTCTTTATGAAAGAAGAATATTTTTTAATGCAAAAAAAAAAAAAAAAGTTAGGCTTCTCTGAAGATGAAGCAACCGACAGGCAGCTCTTTGGAGTCAGCGCTCACTGGGATTTTCATTGTGCTCTTTCTGCAACCCTGAAGCAGGTGAAGCAGATGGTTGTGCCCGACAAGGGCCTCTGGCAGCCCTGGTGAGACCCAAGTTGGGTTCCTGTTCTACCTGCCTGTGATGATAGCTGCTCTTGGATCTGTCAGCACTCTTGGAAGACAGGCTTCTCTGGCCGGCAGCTGGTTTTATTAAGGGAAGGAACGTCACCAGACGTGCAGAACACCTAATGCATCCTTTGGCCTAGGGACTGGGAGGTGTAGGGGCATTTTTAAAATCACAAAGCCATCACCAGCACAAGGTCTTTCCTCTCAGTCCTCTCCGCAGTCAATTTTCTAAAGCTAGGAGGCCCCTAGAGTCATCCAGGAGAACAGTTTTCCTGCACCTCATGGGGTAACTGTCAAGGGTGCCCCTCCAACTCAAGACACCTGACTTAGAGACCTAACTCCTTCATTGTGCCTATTCCTCTCCTCCCACCCCAAATGAAGTCCTGTGGATTCCTACGTGCCTCTCGCTGTGCGAAGCCAGATTTGTTCATACTAGTTTCCCAGCTCATGAATTTAAACATGCCCAGCAGGTTTCTAAAATATCAACTGCACCGATGCTCTGGGATCACAGCTCCCCTAGGACCATCCACTTTGTGCTCTTATGAAACTGGAACAGTATTCAGAGACGCATATTGTGCTAGAGAACAGTTTCCGTTTATACGTGAACAATGACAGTTGCTACTAGAGAAGTTTTCTCTTAAGTACACTGGGAGCCCAATTCTGGTACCAGGACATAAGGACAATCTCCCGACATAACAGACTTTTTGTGTTCTGCTCGTGGAAGAACAATGTACCATGTGCTGCTGTGGGCCTGGGGGACATGGGTGGACACCTCGGTGCACTGAACCCATGGTGGTGCCAGGCACTGCGTGGGGCTTCACCCTCCCTGGGCCTGCAGTCCCTGCAGTTCCCTGAAGCCTGCTCCACACATCAGACAGAGGAAAGCAACCAGGCAGCCAGGAAAAACGTCTCCGTGGTTCACTCAAACCCAGGATCAAGGTTTGGTGTATTATCACAGGCATGATTTCAGATTTCACTGCTGGCCACAGGGATCAACGAGCAATCAGCACATCCCCCACATTCACCCCCACCCCCCCACACTTTACTTTCTCTCTCCTGAATGACAGGGTAAAAGTCAAAGGACTCTTTCGTTGTCTTTCAATTGTTCTACATGCAAATCTCCCCTCTCAGTTAAGCTAAATGCATACCACTTCCAAAGCCTCCAATGTTGGGACACTAAGAAGCTATGCCCTCCACAGGCAGCATATGTACAGCTGAGACAAGCACATCTTCTGGGGCTTTCCTTATGCCCTCTCCTAGGAGAAACAGGATTTCCCTATGCCCTCTCCTAGGAGAAACAGGATTTCATCAGCCACACAGGCAGGGGCCCATCCCAGGCTCCAGAGGTTTGGACACTCACAAATCAACACTTTCTAAAGCAGTCCACGGGGCCAGCATCCTAGGGACAGTATCTTTGGCAAGATTCCAAACACATTTCTTTTTGTGTCTCTAAGTATCCTTGATGGTTGCTCCTACATACATACAGTTGGTTAAGCAGGTAAAGAAGGCCAGTCTTAAAAGCTGGAAGAGCAAATACCCCTGTTCCAGAGACTAGCCAAATGACTCATCAAGATCACAGTCAATGGCAGAGGCAAGCCAGGTGTGGCAGTGCACACCTGTAATTCCAGCAACTGGGGAGGCTCAGGCAGGAGGATCTCAAGTTTGAGACCAGCCTCAGCCATATAGCAAGGCCCTAAGCAACTTAAATAAAAAATAAAAAAGGCTGAGGATGTGGCTCAGTGGGATAGCCCGTGGGTTAAATCACTGGTACCAAAAAAAAAAAAAAAAAAAAAGGCAGAGTCAAGGCTAGAACCTAGGGTCTTTCCTCACCCCAGCACACAGCTGTACCTCCTAGTGAGTGTCTAGGAAAGGTCCCACACCTGTTGCACCACAGAATCAATTCCCTAACATAGGCTGCCCAATCTAACTGACCGGCAGGTGCCAATGAGCGTATCCACGGTGTGGGCTAGAGGGAGTGTTTGAGTAAGCACACCAGAGCACTGCAGGGATGTGCACACCGTCAGAGAAGGAAGTTTTAGAGGAAACAATTGGATCTGCTTAAAGCCTTTGGGGTTTTACAATGAAATAAGTCACACAGTGATCTCTCCCCCATCACTGAGGCAGAACAGAGACCAGAATTCTCAGTGAGTGGCTGACCATTTCAGCTCAATTTTTATAAACAAAACGTTAACATGGTGATACCAAAATGTGTCTGGTTCAAGTCTAAACATTTTTTTGATAAGATATATTCTACAGTAACAACCATTCCATTCCCAAGCATATGTAAATTTAGATGTAAAACCCTCTGTGTGTAAATTCCAGTTTACCTTAGAACTGGAGCAAACTAATCACTTATCTTCCTTTTGGTGCAGAAGTCGTTCTTGCAACCACTGTATTAAAATGAAGGGTACCAAACCTTGGCACTCTCTGCAGATGTCAGCTCACGATGACCTCTGTTCAGGGCAGAGCCAGTGGGCACGGGGCAGGGCTGCTGAGGCAGGACACACCCCAATGGATGAAACTCTGAATCTGCTTTTGCTAATAGGTTACTCTAGGGAAATTGATCTGACTTGAAATTAACCTTTAATGTGCTTTCCCAAGAAAAAGAATAAAACATGGAGACCACCGTGTTATTTACCCGATGACAGAAAAGTACAGCACACTATTAGACCACGAGCAGCCAAGCTCCTCACAGCACCACTTAATTAAACAGAAAATGCTAAGACGATCAGGTTCACACCAACATGCCTGGAAGATGTACAAGACTCCCATGAGTTCTGTGGCCTCTGCTACTGATTTTTTTTAATTCAAAATACTGACAACCTAACGGGCACATGTGGGCATGTTTGGAACATTCCCAGCCCAGATGCTAGAGGAAGTCAAGTGCTGTAAAAGAGGCATTCATTCCACATCCTACGTGATTAGAACCAGAGATGATGCCGAGGTCCAAGAAAACGAGTATGTCAAATAGTTCCAACCTGGCATTACAGAGATGTCCCCAGTAAGCATTTGTTGGCTAAATGAAGACAGCAGTTGTTTCTGTGAGTTGTCTGAGTATCTTGATCATTAAATATGCCCCCTTTAACCAAGCCACCCAATCATCAAGTTGCCTATTTTCATGTTACTTTAAAAGTTCACTACTATTAGGTCCCTTAAAGTACTTGTTATAATTTTAAACAAATTATAGAACAGGAGCCTTTTCTTGGCTTTTTTTTTAAGAATAAAAGATTAAGAAAGTAAAGGATTCCGTTATAGTTTTTTAAAAAATTTTTATCCTGGTTTATTTTCCTACTAAATTTATCTATGGATCTATGGCTTCAAAGTTTAAGTGGCACTTACTTGATTCTGGACTTTTTTTTTGATTTAACAAGTGGCCATCTCATTAGAAAGACAGAAGGTAAATGTCTCATTTCATATATGGGATGGTTTATAAACTGCTTAAAGAAATTGTTAGTTTTTGTCTTTCACCCCTTTATATTTTCCACTATTAGACTAAAAAGTGGCTTTGGAATTAGCATTTTTAAAACAATTGAACAAGCAAGTAACATTTATATCTAACCAGGAACCAGCTGCTATGTACCAGGTAACCAGCTCAGTGATGGCGAAACACTCCAGGCTTCTCTGCCTCTCTTACCCTCTTAATCCAAAGCTAAGTGATCATCCTTTTCTGCCCTTGTATTTGCACTTGTGCAGTTTAATGACTAGATATTTAAACTCATGCTTTATAAGCAAAACCTTTCACTTATGGACACTTAAAAGGTACATAAAAGTGCAGACTGCATTGCTTCTCTGCCATGCTGTTCCTCAGCCAGGTCACCTGCGAGGACTCAAAACACATCCTTAATACATTCAGAGTTCTCTACATTCCAGTCAGCGAATGTTAATTCTCCAACATAAACTCAAGAGAGAATAGGCAGCCACAAAAGACTCTAAATTCAAAGTGGCAAAGGCTACCAAGACAACTCCATAGAAACCCCACTGAAGCGGGACTGAAATTCAGGTCACTTCTGAGCAAAGCTCATCACAGATATTGTATGGTCATTAAAAAGGTAATTCATTTTAATTTGGATGCTGGGAGCCAGACGTCCTGTTTCGAAGTGCTAATGCAAAATGCTAACCCAGGAGCACAGAACCCCACCTAGGGTACAGCGGGCTCACTTTCCTTCTCCAGAAGGTGCCCTTGGAGGTTTACTGCTGACTGACCCCCATTTGGGGGTGGTCCGCCTCTGGTTCCTCCTCCTCCACATCTGCACTGTACTCTTCAAATGCATCATCATCTGCATCCGGAAGCCCCAGTAACTAAAGGGAGAGAAGGAGAGAGAAGCAGCTGTGAGCACCAAATGGACCATAGGCAGGAAGACAAGCAAAGGCATCACATCCCATTAAACAGCACCTCCCAGGACTCAACAGAGAAGCTACAATTTGCCAATTTGCTCTCCAAGACTCAACTACTCCTTCTGCTGATTTTTACTTTGCTTTTTGCAGTACTGAACATTGAACCCAGGGGCGCTCTACCACTGAGTTACATCCCCAATCTTTTTTTTTTTTTTTAGTACCAGGGATTGAACTCAGAAGCACTCAATCACTGAGCCACGTCCCTAGCCCTATTTTGTATTTTATTTAGAGACAGGGTCTCATTGAGTTGCTTAGCATCTCACTTTTGCTGAGGCTGGCTTTGAACTTGCAATCCTCTTGTCTCAGCCTCCCAACCCTGGAATTACAGGCAAGCACCCCTGTGCCCAGCTCCCCAGCCCTTTTCACTGTTTATTTTTGAGGCAGGGTCTCACTTAGTTACCCAAACTAGGCTTGAACTTGCAATCCTCCTGCCTAAACCTCCTGAGTAGCTGGGATTACAGGCATGTACCACCCTGCCCTGCCCACTACCACTGTTTTTATAATTTACTGGAAGAGAATATTAATCCTTTATGATTAGTGTCTCAAAGGCTCAGTTTTTCTGGGCAGCCGGTAGAGTCCCTTTTTTTAAGTATCAAACATGCTAGGCAAACATGCAAAATGAATTCTTAAAAAATCATTTTATGTGCATATATAAATATACCACAGGGAAGCTCACCTTTATGCATAAGTAAAAATAACCAATCAAATGTAAATAAATAGAAGAGTGAAAGGAAGTCTAGTAAAGTAGAGGAAGGAGAATGGGGGAGGGCAGGGAAAAGGGAGATCATGAACTGAAGTTGAATTCCATGCATGTATGAGTCTGTCAGGAAGAACCCAACTACTATGCACACCCATAAAGCTCTAATTTAAAAAATGCTTTTTTTTTTTTTTAATCAGGGGAAGTGGCACATGCCTGTAATCCCAGTGGCTCGGGAGGCTGAGGCAGGAGGATTGCAAGTTCAAAGCCAGCCTCAGCAACTTAGCAAGGCACTAAGCAACTCAGCAAGACCCTGTCCCTAAATAAAATACAAAATAGGGCTGGGAATGTGGCTCAGTGGTTAAGTGCTCTTGAATTGAATCCTCAATATTAAAAAAAATGCTTTTTGAGCTGTAAAAAAAAGCATACTGTATATCTATGCAGGAACATAAAATCTGTGTGCACATGCATATATCTGTGAGGTTAGTGATAGCATATGATGAACAGCACTGACATTCCATCAAGACATGAAAAACTCTGTCTCCTACTCTATTTTCTCCCCCCAAACACATGCTATTATGAATAGCAATTCATAAAAATGTTGAGACAACTAAAATGTTCAGCAGCAAAAGAGTTAAATAAATTATAGTGTGTAAGATGAACTCTTAACATATTCACTTAAAATGGTGTTTTTGAATTATTTAATGATATAAAAATTGGTACTTAAGTGTAAAATTGCACGTTCATTATGAGAGTTTTCTAAAAATTTATACATAGATGTGTTAAAAAGACTTCAATAAAATATATCTAAATGTTGAAATTTTTTGGTTAGTTTATGGGATGATGGATATATATATATATATATATATATATTTTTTCTTTTTCATCTTTTTGTATTTCCCAAACACTCTAAGGATGATCAGGAACATTCAGAGTGAATTCATGATAAACATTTTTGAAAGGCACAGTCAGATCTTTGGTTGGAAACAGTGCCATTTGCCAGGCCTGGTTATTATGAATCCAAAGCTCTTGTGCCAAAAGGAAGTCTTGACCTTAAGGGATCCTGAGTTTATCGGTGACAACCTGGCAGTGAGTGACCAAAATACTTTTTTATATAGTGGCCTAGCAACTGATCACTTTCAAGCCACTTCACCAAGTTGCCCTAATGGCTAAAACACGAACAGCATTAAGACACAAAAATCACAGGGCACGGTAGTGCATGCCTGTAATCCCAGCAGCTCAGGAGCCTAAAACAGGAGGATGGCGAGTTCAAAGCCAGCCCCAGCAACAGAGACACTAAGCAACTCAGCGAGACCCTGTCTCTAAATAAAATAAAAAATTTGACTGGGGATGTGGCTCTGTGGCTGAGTGCCTCCGAGTTCAATCCCTGATACAAAATAAAAAACAACCAAAAAAAGTCAGCGTCAGCGTTATCATTCTGTTTAGTCTGTATTGCCTGTCTTCTGTCCTGCCACCTTTTCCCCAACTTCCTACTAATTGCTCAAATGGGGAAAGAGTAAAAGTAGAGGTCCAATTGAAATAATGCCTGTGCTCTGAAGTTCTAGAACTGCAACTCTCACAGATCCCACAGTGCCCTATAGACATACTCAGGACAAAATCATCTATGAGGCATTATTGGTCATACTATGTACATGGCCTACTAAGGTAGACATAGACCACTGCAGACACATACTGTCCCCTTGGGCATGTGCTACAGCTGTCTCAGAGCAACATGGTTACCTTGGAGGGAAAGGGCAGGAAGGGTGGGTCTCAATTTGTCTGGACAGGGTATGCTAATCTTGGATGTGAATGGGAGAAAAGGGAAGCCCCTTTTTTCTTACTACTGTCTCACTTCTAGGTTTTAGTGGACGGAATAAAACAGTTGCCTCCAAAGAGAGAAAAGATGGCTGGTCACAATGAACACAGATGACCACTGTGTGCCAATGAGGTGGCCAAGTTTTATTTGAAGAGCTGCTTGATGATACAGAAAAGT